CTTGAAATGAAAAAGGAACGAAATACAGGAGAGTAAGCAGCACGGTGCTGAAGAAAGATAGGGTCCTGGATTTGCAATCTGATGCAACCATGGAGCTGTGTGCCTCAGGGTGGGTCCTAAAACTTCTCTGTGCCTTGGTTTGCTAAGCTGAAAAATGGACCTAATGAATATACTGTACTAGGGGAAAGGCTAAAAGTGCACGCCACCACCAAGCACATAGTAAGTGGCTCTCATCAAACGGACAGGGAGGGGACAGTTGACAGGAGAACAAGCCAACAGGGCTGATGCTTGGAGTCGGGGCAGTGATGCTACAGACCTCAAGCCATGCCAGGCGGCGCCGTCTTTTCTGCTTACGCGGAGGTGATCAACTTAAACAGTACATGGGATGGGGAAACAGAGACCGGCAGAGGCGGCAGGAAAGGGAGCAATCCAAGTGCAGTCACATGAAGAGAGACCGAATTTTCATCCCTGGTGGGAACAAACTTGCACCTAATGAGCTGCTCTCCATGCGCCGTGACTGTAATTGACTGCTACATCCTGCCAGCTTACAAGGCTCTGTTTCCTTGTCTCCATTTATTCAAAATAGGAGCTGTTCTCCCAGAGAATCTTCAGGGCTATAATCAAATCCTGCTAAAAGGTTTAAAAACAAATAAACAAAACCCAAAACTCCAGCGCTCATTCACATCTTATACCGGGGAGGGGCGGGGAGACAATGAGGAGAGAGTCCTAAAAATACTTACATTCAAAAAAAGAAAAGGAAAAAATTCAATCCTTAATCCCAAACTCCTCCTTAAAATAAATGACGTACTTTAAAAGTCTATAATATCATAAGGTTCCGCTGAGAAGACACTGTCTTTGCACCTATCTCTAAAAATACAATTATCATTTGGACTTCCCTGGCAGTCCAATGGTTAAGACTTCTGACTCTCACTGCAGGGGTCACAGGTTCAGTCCCCGGTCAGGGAAGATCCACATGTCACCAAAAGAAAAAATATTATTTGGCCCATGGAATGGTCCTCTGCTCTATAACAATGAAGTTCTCACGTAGCAAACACTTAACGGAGCACCTACTCTGTGTCAGGCATAGCCCTGGGCATGGAGATTCAGAGAGGAAAACAGGGCACCCACCCAGCACCCACCAACAAATGCCTTTACCAGTAGCATCTTGTGGAATCACCCAAGCCACCACCTGATAGAAAAGGAAAGTGGGGCTTCCAAATACAGCAGACCCCACCCTGGCCTTGAGGCCCTTGAATACTTTGGTGTCTGGGAGGAAGTCTAATCTGAGGGCAGCAGACAGTGGCAATGAAGAGATGAGTGTGTGTGTGTTGGCGGGGGTGGGGGGGAGCCTCCCACAACAGGGGTCCCTCAGGAGGGGCAGGGAGCATGCGAGCATGCTAAGTCACTTCAAGTGGTGTCCAACTCTTTGCGGCCTTATGGACCACAGCCTCAGTAGGCTCCTCTGTCCATGGGATTCTCCAGGCAAAAGTACTGGAGTGCATTGCCATGCCCTCCTCCAAGGGATCTTCCCAACCCAGGGATTGAACTCGCGTCTCTTATATGAGTTTCCTGCATTGACAGGCAGGTTCTTTGCCACTAGCACCATCTGGGAAGGAAGAGTGGGCTCCAGAACCGAAGCTGAGCTTGCGGCCGCCTCCCTCCTTTGTCCAGGCTGCCTGGCTCTAGGCAGATGACCAGAGCGGGCCTGAGGCAAAAACAACAAGCTCAAGGGGCTCCCCTGGGGCTAGTGTCAAAATGGCCAGCTCTTCCCAACAGCCTGCAGGACCGCCTACTCCCTCCTGACTGCCGGCCATCACAGCCTGTCCGCCGGAAAGGCTCTGAAGACAGTTCACGCTGCCTCTGGGTAAAGGATGTCACTGCCTTCACAGGCATCCAGACTGGAGGCCAAAGGGAATGCAGCATGAGGAGAGAAGACGGGACACATGTCAGGGGTCCAGAAAAACCTGGACTCCACCACTTACTACTTGACATTCACTCACTCATTCTGTAAGTCAGTAAGTACCTACTGTATGAATCACTGGAATTTAAAGGGAGCAGAAAGAGACAGGGCACTTACCCTCAAAGAGGTGGTGGTACCTCACTGAGACACTGATTAGTGAGAGATAAACATAAAATTATAGCAAGAGAAGAAGAGAGAGACACATACAAATATCACATTCGACAAGGAAAATCTGCCCTTGTCGGGTCTCCTGAGGAGGTAGGTGATGTGTGGCTTCTGAGGGTGAGTGACCTGGGCCCAGAGCCTTATTCCAGGCAGAAGGGATGGGAGCAAAGGCCCCACAGAGGGAGAAAGCAAAGGACCTGGAGCTGAAGAAGCCCGATGGGCTGGGGGTCCAGCACCGTGCCGGAGCTTAATCATAAGTCCAGTGGGGCCTGAACCCTCTGCATCTCAGCTGCCATGCTTACTCAAGAGGAGGCTAATTTCATTCGACTCACAGGCTTGTCTTCAAATGAGAGGGGACTTCTCTGACAGTCCAGTGCTAGGACTTTGCCTTCCAATGCAGGGGGTTCACTGGTCTGGTCAGGGAGCTAAGACCTCACATGCCTTCCAGCCAAAAAACCAAAACAAAACAGAAGCGATACTGTAACAAATTCAAGGAAGACTTAAAAAAAAAAATCAAATGAGAGAAGGAAGGCAGAGACCCATGTGTGCCCAACACATGGTTGGAACTCCGACAACTGGGAGCGCCTGACGGACACTGGCGCTCAGAAAGAATTTCCCTGCAACAGGTGGAGGAGGACAGAAAAAGGTCCTCCCTTCTGAAGGAGGACAAAAAGAAGATTCAGTGCCTCAGAATCTTGCAAGATGAGAACTCTGGATCTACATCCAGCCAAGCGAGCTCCATGATCTGCCAGACAACCTTCTGGTCTAAGTGTGGGATTTCACAAGGATGTTATGTCAACTCTGTTGTAAAATAAAGGCAGAAAACAACCATATATCATATATCCATCAACAGGGCCTGGTTAGACAAACTATGGTATTGCCAGTTCAAAGGGGTACAATGCAGCACTTTAAAAGAATGATGTAGATCTACACGCAAAGTATTGATAAAATAAAGTGACCTCTAAAGTGTAGAGTTAGGAGGAAGAAAAGTAATATACATAACAGTGAATAAAGCAGGCGACTGGTGATTAAACATGTACATATATACATGCGGCTTACTCAAGCCATGTTCATCTCTGGAAAGACAAACCCAAGACTGATCACTGTTATTGCCTCTGGGATAGGAAACAGATTTCTTTTTCACTGAATATACCCTTTTATGCTACTTGGTTGTTTAGCATGTGAATAACAATGTTTGTCAAGAGTCCAAATTTTGATAATTTTCAATTGTTTAAAAAAAAATCCAGTCTTTGACAGCAGACAAACCCAGATCTGTCACTTCTCAATACAATCCAAAAAACTAAGAAAATTAGAGACAAGAAGAAATCTGAACACTGATATTTGTTGGTATAAACGAATTATCGACAATGGAGGGCTGACAATGATATTTGTTTCAATTATACTTGATTGCTCTATTTGTTTTCTTGATTTTTATAGCTATATTCTGAAATGTCTAGAGATGAAATAATGCCTTATATTTGATTTAAAACAATACAGAAGGGAAAAGCAGGTGTTGGTAACTTGAAATAAGATTGTGACTGACAATAGTTCAACCAAACGATGGTTACATGAAAGTGTATCACACACCCGCAGACCTTTGGGTATTATTAACATCTGACATCATAGGAAAGTTTTAAAGCAAAGAAGAACCTGTTATAAATGTGCACGAAAAGGACAAGATGCTCTCAGCAACATGGTTTGCAATAGCAAAACACTGGAACAACCACAATGTTTATGAACACACAGCCAGATTTAAAATAGTGCAATATTTCATTCCATGGAGAATTACAGAATTAACAAAGTGAACAAATTCGGTGGGGAGTTCTCAACCAGGGGTGATCCTGCCCCCGAGTGGACATCTGACAATGTCTGGGGACATATTTGGCTGCCATGACTGGGGTGGCAGGGGCCAGGGATGCTACTGGACTCCAGTGAGTAGAAACTGGGGATGTTGCTAAACATCTTACGATGCACATGACGGCCCCCGACAAAGAAGGAAATGGCTCAAAGTATCAAGAGGGCCGCCGTTCAAAATCCCTCTATTACAGTGGCCCCCAACCTTAAGACACCAGGGACTGGTTTCATGGAAGATAATTTTCCCACGGGCCGAGGGGGGGAGGGTGGTTTGGGGATGATTCTCATAAGGAGCACACAACCCTTGTGTGTGCTCTTATGATCCCTCTTGTGTGCAGTTCACAGTAGGGTTCCTACTCCTATGAGAATCTAATTCCACCGCTGATCTGACAGGAGGCAGAGCTCAGCTGCTAAAGTGAGCGATGGGGAGCGGCTGTAAACACAGATGAAGCTTCACTCACTTGCCCACCAACCACCTCCTCCTGTGTGGCCTGATTCCTAACAGGCCACAGATCAGCACCAGTCTGCACCCTGGGGCTTGGGGACCCTGCTCTGTTAGATCTACGTGGGATGGTCCTCAAACTGTAATACCAAATAAACACACACTCATGGAAGAAACAGATATGCAGAAGTAATACCAGGTAGGTAAAAGTTAACCAAAACTGAGACTATTCACTGCTATGGAAATTTATCCATGTAGTAACATATAAAAACAGGGAGGGGAAGGATATGTGCCAATTTCACAATATCAATTATGTGTGCGGGGCATGAAATGTTGCCAAGGGGGTTTAGACAGATTCTTTAACATGTTATTTATTTTACCCCTTCCTGCCCAAAGGAAAGCCAGTGGTGAGGGCTAATGCATGTAAAATCTGGGTGGGAGTGCCTAGATGCTCCCCCTTTTAGTCTCTGTACTTTTCCATGTCCTTGACATTGAACACATGTAACAGAAGGGTTGAGGGCAGCAGAGGTGGTGGGCAGACAGATAGCGTGGGCAGAAGGGTAAGGCTGGGGCACTCACCGGCCCCCGCAGGTCGATGAGCTCCTGCCGCATCTGGGAGACGAGGGCTTCCTTGGCCACCAGGGCCCGGTGCAGGCGCTCATTGAACTCGATCAGCTCCCCGTGCATCTCCGCCACCTGCAACACACAAGCGCCAGACGGTGAGGCTCGGCGAAAGACCCTCCCCACGGCCCATCCCGCCTTCTCCAAGCCCACCACTGGTCAACCGGCATCGAAAGGTTGTTGAGCTGGAAACAATGAACGCTGCTTCCTTATGGATCAGTTTTGGTTTGTCTCAGGTCAGATTCAGCAAAGGAAATGGCAACCCACTCTGGTGTTCTTGCCTGGAAAATCCCATAGACAGAGAAGCCTGGCAGGCCATGGTTCATGGGGTCACAGAGAGTTGGACACAACTGAAGGAAGTAAGCATGCACGCATGCAAATCCACCTGTTAAGCTGAATATGTTTTTGACTTGGTAGAATTGAACACTTCAGCATCAATGGCCCCAGTTTACAGTCTGGAATATGACTGTATCAGGTCATTTTTGGACCTGAGGCTTTTATTCTTAGGAAATGAATACTTTTCTAGCAAAGACCTTCTTTCTCATCTGTGGTGTGCCTGTCAAGAATCCCCAGCTAATGGCATGAGTAGAATGATTGACCACTTCTTTTTTTTTTTTTAATGTATTTGGCTGTAAAATTTATTTTTATTAAATTTATTTGGCTGTAACATTTGTTCAGTTGTGGCATGTGGGGTCCTTGTTGAGGTGTGTGGGTTTTCTCTCTAGTCGTGGCACACAGGCTTAGATGCCCTGTACCAAGGGGGATCCCAGTTCCCCGACCAGGGATCAAACCCGCATCCCCTGTGCTGGAAGGTAGATTCTTAACCACTGGACCCCCGGGGAAGTCCCTGATGAATGATTTCTGTTCATCGAGGCTTTGGTTTTGAAAACTGAGACCACAGAACCAGAGCCTTGTTGAGGATGGTGATGGTGAGTGAGGACACAACTATGGTAGCACAGAGGCCCTGTGGCCCCTGCGTGTTCTCTGCCAGGAAGACGCCTGAAGTAGGTATTATTACCCCTGCCGCACAGACAGAGGAACAATGTCAGAGGAGTCTAAGGAGCAGGGTCAGGGCCACACAGCTAAGGCAGACCCCAGAGCCCTGGCTCCTGATCACTGGGCCACATGCCACAATCCTGCCGCTCCACTGTGCAGCCACGCAGGCCTGCAGAGAGCCTGCAGATTTACCCACATTTCAATACTCTTGGCTGATCCCAAATAAAAAATGGAGGTTGGGATAAGATAACCTATGACTGGTGCACAGAACCAATAACAGACCTTTCCGCGTGTAACATACAAAGGGAACAAGGATATCCCATATGGTCAAAGCACACAGTAATCCCTCTGATTCTAAGAGTGATCTTGGGACTTCCCCAGCAGTTCAGTGGTTAGAACACCACCCTTCCACCGCAGGGGGTACACATTTGATCCCTGGCCAGAGAACTAAGATCCCACATTCCACATGATGCAGTCAAAAAATAGAAAAAAATAAAAATACGATTTTTTTAAAAGTGATCTTTTATTGGGGCTTAAAATCAAATTAAAATTTATTTTAAAATTTTTTTAGAGAAATGTGAGGTATAATCTTGCCATGCTCATCAGAAACCATGAAAGAAGACTCTGGCAAGTACCTTACAGAGAACATCCCCCCACCCTGAATGCAGAGGTGAAGCAGACCCCAGCCAGGCCCTGTCCTCCTGCCCCTCCCAAGAAATCACCCCTCCTATACCCAAGACTTTAGCCAGGTACTTACTACGTTCAGTATAATGCATAAACAGTATCAGAACATTTATAGTAAGTACTCTAGGTGAAATACAAAACATACTGTTAGAATACAGAAGGGATATAAGGAGAAGTTTTGTGGGCAAAAAAGAGATTAACCTAAATCTAGATGCTTCAGAAGGAATAAAGATAAGCCAATTTTTTTTAATGTATTTGGCTGTAAAATTTATTTTTATTAAATTTATTTGGCTGTAACATTTGTTCAGTTGTGGCATGTGGGGTCCTTGTTGAGGTGTGTGGGTTTTCTCTCTAGTCGTGGCACACAGGCTTAGATGCCCTGTACCAAGGGGGATCCCAGTTCCCCGACCAGGGATCAAACCCGCATCCCCTGTGCTGGAAGGTAGATTCTTAACCACTGGACCCCCGGGGAAGTCCCTGATGAATGATTTCTGTTCTTCGAGGCTTTGGTTTTGAAAACCGAGACCACAGAACCAGAGCCTTGTTGAGGATGGTGATGGTGAGTGAGGACACAACTATGGTAGCACAGAGGCCCTGTGGCCCCTGCGTGTTCTCTGCCAGGAAGACGCCTGAAGTAGGTATTATTACCCCTGCCGCACAGACAGAGGAACAATGTCAGAGGAGTCTAAGGAGCAGGGTCAGGGCCACACAGCTAAGGCAGACCCCAGAGCCCTGGCTCCTGATCACTGGGCCACATGCCACAATCCTGCCGCTCCACTGTGCAGCCACGCAGGCCTGCAGAGAGCCTGCAGATTTACCCACATTTCAATACTCTTGGCTGATCCCAAATAAAAAATGGAGGTTGGGATAAGATAACCTATGACTGGTGCACAGAACCAATAACATACCTTTCCGCGTGTAACATACAAAGGGAACAAGGATATCCCATATGGTCAAAGCACACAGTAATCCCTCTGATTCTAAGAGTGATCTTGGGACTTCCCCAGCAGTTCAGTGGTTAGAACACCACCCTTCCACCGCAGGGGGTACACGTTTGATCCCTGGCCAGAGAACTAAGATCCCACATTCCACATGATGCAGTCAAAAAATAGAAAAAAATAAAAATACGATTTTTTTAAAAGTGATCTTTTATTGGGGCTTAAAATCAAATTAAAATTTATTTTAAAATTTTTTTAGAGAAATGTGAGGTATAATCTTGCCATGCTCATCAGAAACCATGAAAGAAGACTCTGGCAAGTACCTTACAGAGAACATCCCCCCACCCTGAATGCAGAGGTGAAGCAGACCCCAGCCAGGCCCTGTCCTCCTGCCCCTCCCAAGAAATCACCCCTCCTATACCCAAGACTTTAGCCAGGTACTTACTACGTTCAGTATAATGCATAAACAGTATCAGAACATTTATAGTAAGTACTCTAGGTGAAATACAAAACATACTGTTAGAATACAGAAGGGATATAAGGAGAAGTTTTGTGGGCAAAAAAGAGATTAACCTAAATCTAGATGCTTCAGAAGGAATAAAGATAAGCCACCATTTTATTTTTCTGAATATATATAAAAGGTAAAAGGCACAGGGAAGAAATACAGAAGATAGTAACATTAGTCAAGGGATATTTTTTGTTTCCATTCTTTCTACTTTTCCTTACTTATCAGTTTCTTAATAATGAGCACTCTTTCATTTATCAGAGAGAATAACCACTCAGGCGCTTTAAAAGAATTAAAATTCTTCATGTGTAACTCAAGGAAGAAGCCAGGAATTTCAGGAAGAATCTGAAATTTATCAGGTTCCCAACTGCAATGCTGATGCTTCTGTTAACTTGCTCAGTGGATATTCACTCAGATGGCAATCCCTCTGTCTCCAAGGTGCCACCTTATTCAAACCAGTGAGAAATGCAAAGTAAAAATGGCACAACAGACACTGTAATGGCCACACAATTAACTAATGGAGAATAAGCCACTGAGCCTTTGACCAACCTCTTGTGTCATACAGACCTAAAATCAATATTCCCCAGTTGCCTTATTTTTGTATAAAAAAGCTTAAGATGACCTTCAGGCCTTTCACAAACAAATACAACATCACTAATAATACCTACTTGATTCCTCCACACAGAAATCATACAAACCCTCCTCGAGCTTCCTTGGGGCTAAGAATCCATTTACCATACAGTAAGCAGGAAACACATACAACTGCCAGTTTCACTGCTAAATACCTGCTAATATGCTCCTACAACATACAAGCTTTAAATAAATGTCACCGTCATTTCCAAAGCAAAGTAGGGTTTTGCTTTGTGTTCGTGTTGTGTTTGGCAGTGGAAGCCAGGGTGTTAAAACAATTTCCCATAAATGCATAAAACATTGGAACATCCCAGCTGCAAGTGGTGTTTATCACCAACTGTCAAAACCCTGGTTGTGTTTTGCAGTCGGAGAGTAACTTGACCACATCAGACAAAGCTTTCATCTCACTAGAGAGTGGAGGGGAAAAAAATCCTATGGAACCGAGGAGACAAAATTTGACAGTTTCCAGCAGTCATTAAAACAGCAACGCTCATTGTTACTAAGCTAAGCTCTGAAACCCTGGATTTCTCCATTACATGTCCCCACAAACAGTTATTGATATAAACAGCTTTCATCTTACATAAAGCACACTGAGCTTCCTATTCCTCAAATAACTCTTTCCAAAGTATAGCATAACTAGAAATGAAATCGAGATTCAGAGCCAGCCTCAGAAGAGAAATGTGAAATCACAAATGGTTCCCATTATCATCAAAATAAAAGGCACAACCACTGCTTGCTGGAATTTCTATGAGGCTCTGAGGGCACTTACAGGTTGCATATGACCTTCCTTCCCTATTTCCAACAGCCACAGGGAATGAGAGAGAGAAATGTCCCTTAATCCTTCTCCACCAAGGAGCAAGAGTGATCTCCCCAAAGCAACAGCTGATGTTGTCACCTGCTGTTTAAAACTGTCAATGCTTCCCACTGCCCTAAAGATAAAAATCCATCTCCTTGCAGATCTGGCTTCAGCCTCTCTCCCTAACACCATCTTCTGCCCCCTCCTCTTGCATTTTCTCCCCAAAGTCACTCAACCCAGCGGGTCTTCTACGTTCCAGAAACATGCTGAGCTCTGGGAGCTCACCTTGTGAACAGAGGAGAAGGACACAACCAACAGAGGAAATGACTGGTGCAAAGGCCCAGAGGTTGGCAGGAAAGCAGCCCAAAGAGGTGCTTTGAAAAGGCTCAGACTCTGATGCAAGACAAGCCTTGGTTGGCTCTCTTAATCCGTGCTCTTGCACGAATCACTTAACCTCTATGACCCTGAGGCCCGTCACCTACAAAACGGGGATTAAAAACCACACTCATGGACTTCCCTGGTGGTC